ACTGAATTGGCTGAAAATGTCTGGTCAGGATTTGTGAGGTTCAATGTAAAGACTTTAGCAGGAAAAGCTTAGCGGTGGATTCTGCAGAAGAAGCAAAGAAACTCCTCATATACACACACACACACACACACACACACACACACACACACACACACACACACACACACACACACACACACACACACACACACACACACAGTACAAAAGTAGTTTCACTGGCTGCCAGATAAGCTAAAGTAATAACAGTGCCATCTCAGCTAATTTTAGCTCTGTATTGAATGTGCCGCCACTGGTACTCATGGCAACATTTCTGGCTTAGCTCAGCTGCATGTTCGGTATCTCTGTGTTGCCTGCCTGTCTCACTCTCTTATTCTTTTTTCTTACTCTCAATCTTCTTTTTCTTCCAGTCTCTCTTTTCCATGTTCATTCTTTTCCTCCTCCCGCTTCAATTCCCCTTTCCTCTCCCCCTTCTCCTTTTCATTCATCACCCTGTTTGAAAGCTATCTCGTCTGATTTGTTATGTGGGGCTACAGCCAATGCCTGACATTTCTAATCTGGGAAACACTAATACGATCATTTCCACATTGCTTTTTCGAAAATAGTAAAGCCTCTTTCCAAAATATACATCTCCTTATACCTGCTATAATTAGTGTTTTCTCCCAGCCTGTTCTGTTCTGCAGTTTGTGCAGCATGAAACACAGACATAAACTCAGGCTTACATAATAAAGATTAATGACCACTGAGAATAGAACTGTTTATGTGCCAGATTTTAGCACCTACAGCCATGCTTGCGCTCTGACTTTCTTCAACAAAGTTTGAGAAGCTTTTATTATAAGAAGTGTAGTGCTAGTTGCATGATTGAGACATCCTTAACACATACAGATAACTTTTCACTGAAGGGGCAGTCTTTACCTGTCTGGCTGACCTACGCTGCCGCCCACAAGTGGACGAGTTTGAGAAATCCTGCAGCTCCTTCATCTTCAGTATAGTTGCAGGGTTTGGGAGATCTTTTATGATGGCTTCCACTTGAAACAATAATTTAGGCAATCCCATTTCCGTTCCCGGTCTTGCGGCCTAGCCTGCCATGTTGAGATTGACCACATCAATTTTGAATGGCCTTGGTCCAGCAACAAGGAAGCAGTTGGCTACCCCATGGTACAAACATCAATGGGTTGGCACATGAACAAATGGACAGAAGCTCATTTCCATGAAACATTACGTATGCAAGTTGACAGCTACTTCAAAGCTGTAGCTGGTATACATTAGTTTCTCACTGCTTGATACGTGTTCCCAGTCTACACATACCCAGTATGTCTGGTTTTGTCTACAGATGCACATCTTTCTTGGTTCATTGAGGTGATTTGCATAGTGCAAATGAGGCGAGGTATACAAGTGAAAGTCTCTACCACGAATACGAGAAATAAACTTTTATACTTCAGTTGCATTAGTGAGTCGGTTGTGAGTTTGTATGCTAGCAACCTCACAGAGACACACAAAACATAACATGATGAGCATAGATCCAAAAAACTGGTAACTCAGAGTGATTTTACACTCAGGTCTTATACCCTACAGGGATGCCTGTAGGGCAGCTTAAAATGTTGGAAACTGGTGCAAATATGAAACAGTTTTGCTCGAGTACGAAACAAACTTTATTTTCCCTGGCTCTTAAAAATATAGAAATATAAACATGCCATTCTATACAACCCTTGTCTTTGTCCAAACTTCCCAAATTCGCAAATGTTAAATGTTGTTGAAACACAAGCAGCCATCATAGAATTTTACCTAATTAAATTGGCAGAACTAAAAAGTAAACTAAAAGGAGAGTACAAATCTGAGCCAGCTTTCAGTAGTCTGTGCTGCAGACACAAAGTCAGTACCATACCACTGCCCACTCGTTTCGATATGCATTACCTTGTGTGCTCGTGTGTGTACTTGCATGTGTACTTAATCATGCGAGTGTTTGAGCAAGCATTTGCATTAAACCCATACTGTTTGTGTGTCGTAAATGTGTGTCCCAGGAAACAATGCTGGTAGACCAGACATGAAAAGGATGCAGTTAAACCAGCAATGAGTGTATGTGAGTGAATGTCTGTGTGTGACAGAGAGAGAGAGAGAGAGAGAGAGAGAGAGAGAGAGAGAGAGAGACTATGTGAGGCAGACATTATCAATGCCTTTAATCCAAAGTGGGGAAAAAAGTCAATCTCTTTTGTGATTTTTTTTTTTTAATATAGATTTGAGAGAAAAACCTTAAATGGTGAGAGAGCTGTAGCTTTGACCTAATATCTGAGGGGAAAAAAGAGGGGGGGGGGGATTATAGACAGACAGATTAGAGATCCTGGACAATAGTATTGAGAAAGAATAAGAGTTTTGAAAAGACAAATAGATGCAGAGAGGAAGACAACGAAGATTGCGCTGACTCAGAGAGTTGCTGTATGTTTATAGTTTTCAGCATTTAGGTCATGCCCTTTTCCACAGCAACTTAAGCCCCCTTCAGACATGTACTGTAATCCCTAAATGCTCTGCCAGTTTTAAATGTCGGAATCATGTTTGGAAAAAGAACCTGAGTCATTTTCTCCATAAACATTTCTCTCTGGCGTCTTTCTCTGGCAATTTGCTCACTTAAGACCCACGTAACATTTCTTCAACATTTTGAACATTTCTCTCATAAATGCAGTTTGCCATTAAAAGCACACAGTTTTATGATGCTCTCACATTTACATTTCTGCATATAGCCTTGGAACCAATCATTCCAAATTAGTGGGAAAAGTCACACTAACTTTGTGTTTTTGACAACAGAAAGGATTCTGAAGTGGGACACTTTTGCTTCCAAATGTGATGCATTACCTTTATAAGAATGGCTGGAGATGGTGTGGTATGGCAATGAAATTTGACAGCTATTGTCCCCCCTGTGTCAATAATGAGATAACAAGTGAACAATCTCTCGTCTTGCTCATCATACATAACTTCCTGCGATGCCTCTTTCCAGTTGTGTGAACATTGCATCTGTAGCAGTCATGGCCTTTTTAACAGGGTCAACATGAACTTTTTCAGCAACAGAGACGTATGTATGTGTGAAAGCTAAAAGCCATCACTTAAACTGGCAAATGACTCAAGCAGCCTTACAGATTAAATGTCTGAAAGCAGTTTTACAGTGAGTGAGGAGCTTTGTTAGAGGTGCTCAGTATTCCTGCTAAAAGACGGACCCTTCCATAACTTTTGACCCCCTCTCAGTGAGTCACTCTGCCACTTCCTGATAGAAGAGAAGAATTAAAATCTGAATTACAAGGGACGCCATTTGTGGTGAAATAAAATATGAGGACTGACCACATCCATGTCCTGCTTGATGTTTAACAAAATTACTGGCTGACTTGCTGGAGCAATATTTTGGGAATGGTGGAAGCCCCCCCTCGCTCCTGTTGTCCTGTGCTGTGACTCTCCTACTTACCCTCTGGCTACATGCCTCTTGTACTGTGCAAGAAGAGCACTTCACACTTCCCCAGTGAAACCAGAGCTCTACCTTCAGCCTTCAGCCTCATGCCTCATGCCTCACCATGTCCTCTGGGCTATTTTTACTTCAGCAGTGGCTACTTCTGCCAAACCCATACCACAGCCTACTGGACTAGAGCTGAGGCCATGGGGTTTGTGTGTGTGTGTGTGTGTGTGTGTGTGTGTGTGTGTGTGTGTGTGTGTGTGTGTGTGTGTGTGTGTGTGTGTGTGTGTGTGTGTGTGTGTGTGTGTGTGTGTAGGTATGTATGTTCGTAGGTGTGACTGGCAAGAACTGTGCATTTAAAAAACAAATGTACAGAGATAAGGCTATAATCATAATTAATTTTGAAACACTTCAATTACACTAGATTATTGCCCACAAAAAAATGTGTAATTATGGGAGGCCCATGGCTGAGGGGTTGGAATACCAACCATGGGCCACAGCTTCAGTTTGAATCTGCCTCCCTCCCATATTTCCTATCATCTCTGTCTAATGTTGCTATCTAATAAAAATCGTCTATTTTTTAAATTATGGGCCACTTGGATACTGGATATGGTACAGTAATGTCATTTTGATGGAACAAAATATTATGTATACATTTCTTTTTTCTTTTATAAAAAGTTATTGGGTAATATTACACACAAGTCATGAAATAATATGGGTCCATTGTATTTATGTGGAAAGAAAATAAGAACAGAAATAATCTGTTGACGATTATTTTCTAAATTACAAGGACTTTATATAATAAATATTGAATACAATAATATAACCATGGGGTACAAAAAGTATCACATTGGAAAATGGTGTAATGGATGTACAGATACCTCTTTTTCAGTTATACACTACAGAACAGTCAATCCTGAGTTGTAATCACCGAATTGACTCATAGTGGATAGATGGTTGTTATTGGAGGAAAAACAGATTCAATCAAGAGTACACAAGTCAAAACAATTTTAACACTATTTAGTTAGATTATAAATAAGACTCTGAAGGTTGTGAATTCTCACAGCTGGAGGAAATCACATCCACTCTGTGCTTCCAGCTGCTGCTCAAGATATGCTCACTCATTCCAGAATCACCCACATGCAACAAATATAAAATCATCAAGAAAGAAAAAACTCTTTTGTGTTCACTAAATCACAATAAATTAGCTACAGATGTGTAAATCATACAATCATAGCCATTCTTTCTTTTTCATAGGAATAGAATACAAAATACACCAGGTTATATATGCTATGTAAGGAAATGTTTTTTTTCTTTATAAAAGAGTATGATGTGCTTTGTATAACTGCTGAGAAATCACCTAAGTGACAGAAAATTCATCACAGATGAATTTCTGCTCCTTTTTGAAGCTGTTCTAAAGTGCTGCTGCAGTTTTCAACTCATTTCTGAAGCCGGAGGCTCCATATTCATATCCCATAATTCCTTTCCTCTCCCTCCTCTGTCTTCTTGTCTGCCTTTCCTCCTTATCTAATTCTTTCTCTCACACGCTCTCACTCTGCCTCTGCTCCAGTGAAGTACATCAAGGAGATGTCGGCCTTCTTTAAAAGCTCGGGGTCCCCTGGGGCCGCCCTCCCATGGGACTCTCCCCCCTCCACACCTCAGAGGGGCACTGAGCTCTCCCCTGAGGTGAAGGAGCCTCGCAGCATCCCGCTGAAGATGTGTCAGGTGTCACGAAAACAGTGCCCTCCGGACACAGAAAACAGGTACTACATGTGAGAAGTCAGCTGCTTTACATAATACTTGGTTCAGTTCATACATTTATGGAAAAAAAAAAATCTGATAGACCTCAACCTGAAAATGACATAATGGTTTAGAGAGAATATTGTAAAAGGGACCTCTACTTCTTGAGGGACATCTTGTTCACAAGTTCTCTTTAATATCTGAAACTTCCTCTTCACCCTCAAGCTTTTCTCTGTTTGCCATGTGTCTTTTACCTCTCTAACTTGCCCCTTTTTTTTCCACCTCCTTTTTGTCTCCCCCATTTCTACGCTCTCTTTCTTTCTCTCATCTCATGTGCCAGGTATTTCGAGGTAATTTCATCCAACAGAAAGAACTCTGTGTTCCTGCGGGCAAGAGACCCGGCCATGGCCCAGTCCTGGTACAATGGAATCCAGGCTGGCGCTGCCAACCTTTTACCACGAGTGAAGGAGGAGATGAAGAGTATGCAGCCTGGCATGGAGGTGAAACATCTGGGCTGGATTACAGAGCAGGTATGCAAGAATACTGCCATACAGCTTGTATACAGCAAGACTTTGTACAGTATTTTATGTTTTGTGTTTTTAAATCTTATTTTTAGTGTTTTGATGGTGCTCTGCCTGTTTTAGGTCTTGCTGAGCTATAAACAGTTTTTCTTGAGTGCATACACAGAAATACAAAAAGCACAGGTCCATATATGGTCATGTCAACTGCCTGATTCTGGATTCTTGACTGGGACCAGCTGATATCCACTAGCACTTATTGACTGCCATGTGCCATGTATGAAAATCATGAATGAATTTTCATTTGTTCCAAATATCCATGTGTGCAGGTGGCTCATGGTCCAGAAAGACCAGTACTGGCTGTGTTGACTGACAAAGACCTGCTCCTGTATCCCTCCTTGCCTGAGAGCAAAGAGAGCCTCAGCAGCCCCACCAAGAGTCACCCGCTCATCACTACCAGGTTCACATGCATAAGTGTCTTTATATACGCACATACACCATATACAGTAGCAGATACTAACACAGTTGTGCTCTCTCTGCTTGTCTCTGTTTTGGAAAAACACATTCACATTACAACATTGGTATTTCAGAAGCTCCGTAGATCTATCCTCCACCCTGAACAGCCCAGTTTTGATTTAACAGTCCTCCCCATCCCCATGGCTTATTTTGGCCCGGTGAAAGAACACATGCTTCCTCTTTCCATAACCAGACTATTGGAGATTTTGCCATATATCATCATATCCAGTTGGAAGACATTGGTGGAAACAGAACCTATGAGTCATAGGTTTTTCCTCTCTTCTTTCTCTCTTATGCACTCCACATCTCACTTTTCACCTCTGCAACACTCTTTCATTTGCTCTTCTGGCCCCATTCTTTTCTATAAATTTGAATTACCTTCTTTCTCATCCATGTTTTTCTCATACTTCCTCTCTCCTTTAGACTGGTCCACTCTGGCCCTGGAAAAAGTTCTCCTCTCTTAGACTCAGAGCTGTCATTTGGCCTGCGTTCGGGCACCAAGCAAGGTGTGGAGACCCACGTGTTCAGGGTGGATTCTGCCAAGGAGCTGTCCACCTGGACTCATCTGCTGGTGGAGGGCTGCCACAATGCTGCTGAGCTCATTAAAGAGGTCACCACAGGTACAGATATAGATTCTTTGACTTCCAGTTCTCTCTCTATGCCTGTGGCCCAGTCCCTCCACGTACAATTCAAATTTTGTTCGGAACTTTCGTAGGGCCAGAAATAATGCCAAACCAAATAACTGATTGTCTTTGAGTGTTGCCGATGTCGAAGATGGCACAACCAGGATTCAGGGTTTCACTAGCATCCAGGGTCAGCCCTGGAAAATATTTATCCGCTCTTGGTACTGCGAGATGCTTTTGATGAATGTTTTATGCGACATAATGACCATTCACTCGTTATCGTACACAAGAGAGGATTCTGTTGAGATGCCAGCAATGCAGTTGCAGTTGCAGTAGCTATCTCTAATTGGAGGTCAGAGTAAGGTCCTGTGAATTTATGATGAGAATTTGAAAAAAAGCACATAATGTTCTAAACATAATTAATCCATAATAACTATAAAAAAAATTACAATACCTGCAACAGCAGCACATTTTAACTAAGTAAATGTTATGTAAGGAGAATATTATTTCTTTATATTTCTTTATACAACTCCTCCAAAAGAGAATGGTTAGAAAAATCACTTTTAATCACCAAAGATCGCTCTGTTAAGGTAAAAGCCATGATCTAAATATGAATAGTGTAGTCCCACTGCCAAAAGGCTGACTTGTGTCTGCTGCCACTCTCAAATTGATTGACAGGTCTTTTAAAGTGACTAATCCTATTTTATTGCACTGATAAATGTTTTTTTTTTTTTTTCAAAGGTCATGTAATACAAAATGCCTGATGAGAATTACAAGACCCTGATTTCTCCATCTATAATGCTAACTCTCTAACTCTCAGTTATATCTATAAATATAAAAAAGTGTTCTCATCTAAACAATTGCAGCTTGTGCTCTTGGTTTCTATTCAGCAGACACATACAAACACTTCAATACATAATAGGGGCCTGTCTCACAACGCAGATTTAGAAGTTATGATTTATTGTTCTTTACACAATGATTTTGTAACTGTTTTGCAAAATGTTTCTTCTGGCTGTGTGTTTATAAAAGATTTCAAGTGGGTTTTAGAAGCTTTTTGAATTTGATTTTTATGAAGAGCTTGAGAGAAGACAACATTTTTTTCTTTCAAGCACAGCCATATCATGTCTTATAAGCCCATGTCTGCACTGAGTAAAACACACAACAGCTCTTTTTACTTCCATGTTCTCATTTTATTCTGTAAGGTTAGTTCTAGAAATTTAGTAATCTTGCTGTGTGAGACAGGCACCAGTTCACATGCAGTAGAGTGTAGTAATACAATGCCCTCTGCTGGTAGCATGAGTTGGTGCAGAAACTTTTTTCAATAATATGAAATGGCTTCATTTCAGTATCAGGATTAACTAAGATTTAGATCTATTCTGTTTTCTTGACAGTATTATTGTTTGATTCATTATTTAAATCAAACTTTTTTTCCCTCTCAGTGCATTAATATCCCACATTCACAGGATACAGCCAAGAAGTCTGGGCTCTGTATCAGTACTGTAACACAGAGCTCACACAAGAAGTATGCAGTATAAATCTGGATTCATTTGTGAACGACCTCAGCTGGGCACTGTCGATTCATGACAGTGCCCTTCTTTGTGCTGCCTCTATGTAACCCATGTGTTTTTTTTTTTTATGCTGGCAGCCTGTAGTTGGAATGGAAAGGAGTGTACCCTGGGAGTGCACATCGATGATGGCTTCACGTTATTCACAGAAGAGATGGGTGTCAGGAAAAGTATTCTCCTCCAGCAGCCCTTCGAGCGCCTAAGAATGTCCTCAGATGATGGAGTTCGCATGATGTTCCTTGACTTCGGAGGCCCTGAGGCTGAGATTGTAAGTAACTTTTTTTCCATTGGACTTTCTCATTATCTAGCGTTTTTAATATTGTTAAGTTATCACCACCATAAATTTGAGCTGTTATACTGAATATGTCAAAATTAGCTTAAACCCAGAAAATGGAGTTTGCTCAGTTGTCATGGAAATGGGCAACTCTGAGTAATCTCCACCTGAGGCAACAACTGAGCCATCTTTGTGACAAATGAGCAAACTCCATCTGCTGATAAAGTCCATAAGATGCAATTGAATTTACTACAAACATGCAGTAAGTGGACCTTGTGTTAAGATTATTTTCTCAAACTATATTCCTAAAGTCATAAAACAAACTTTCTGCTTACATACAGATTTGAGCAGTTTCAACAGTATTTAAATGTATTGACCTGTTTGTTTTGTATATATACAGACAGGTGACCAATGAAAGTAAAAATCTGAAAATCCCCCCATCCATAGATTCATAATCGTTTCATGAGTATGAGAATGATTAGAACCATATATCTATGGCCTTCATAGTCACCAGATCTCAACTTAACTGAACACCTATGGGAGATTTTGGGCTGACATGATAGACAGCACTCTTCACCACCATCATCAAAACACCAAATGAGAGAATATCTTTTGGAAAATTGGTGTTCATCCCTCCAGTAGAGTTCCAGACACTTGTAGAATCAATGCCAAGTCACAGTGAAGCTGTTCTGATGGCTCGTGGTGGCCCAACACCTTACGAAGACACTTTATATTGTATTTTCTTTTAATTTGTCACCCGTCTGTATATGTATTCATATTTGGAAATTATAATCAGTATTATATCTGCTCCCTATGTCTCTCTTCTTTCAGCAACTGGACCTCCACTGTTGCCCTAAGACCATAGTCTTCATCATCCACTCTTTCCTATCTGCAAAAGTCAAGCGACTTGGCCTCCTGGCATGATAATGGCCAACTTTCCGGAACATCAACAATAGGAATATTCAATAAAACACACAGCCCAGAGGACTGAAACACACCAGACGATGGGGCCCAGGAAAAGATTCTCACTAACCACTTCTTTACAGATTTCCTGGGCCTCTAAATGTATCATCTCTGGTCAGGCGTCTCCTGGTCTAGTGGAATGAAGAGAAAACTGCAGCATTGATGGACCTTTGTTGAACTTGTAGTTGTATGGTAAGAGAGGCTTTACAGATGGCATAAATCAGCAGCCACTTAAGGGATCTGACATCTGTTGAATCTGTCATGGTAGGTCATGACACTTTGTGATGGCAAACTGTATGATTATGACAGCTTGCATCTTAATGTTTTTTCAACCATTTGATTTTATTTTTCGTCCCATTGTTCAGTTTTGTTTTGTTAGATGAGTCACAGTGGGCCTTTGTCATGAGCATTCTTTCATCTTTCAATCTTTGCTTTATGTGCCATGAACAGTCATAAAAAAGTTATTACACAAATGTCCTGATTGATGTTGGACAAGCATTTCTTTCTGAAGGCAGCTTCAGCGGAGTGACAGGATGACATGACTGATCACTACATGATCAACAGTCTGTACTGAACAATGTACAGAATACGACTGTAACAATATGCTGTTTATGTGGATGCTTGAGTTGCCTCTACCCTGAATGTTCATGAAAGAAGCTTCATGCTTTTTGTTAAGACAATTTGCAAATGGCAAATCAAATATATCTTTCATTGTAGCTGAACAACTCCTTATTTTATATTCCTCTCTGTTTCTCTCCTTCCCCTGTTTTAAGCATGCTTATAATCCATGGCCTAACAAAGAGAAAGGACTAACAGATTTGATATTATAAGTCTTTTTTTTTTTTTATTGTGTTTTAGCTTAACCAATAAATTAGATAAAACCTTGTGTCTGGATGGCCTTAGTCAGACAGTGTGACTCTGCAGTTTAATTCGATTTCAGCCCATGTAAAGTAGAAAACAAGAGCTCTTGAGTTTATGGATTCTTATCAACAAAGGTTGTCACATCATCATTTATTGATTGATGGCAAACAGTTGGCTGAAAGAGTGCCAGTCCAGCTAAGCATCTTCTGTATGGATAAGCTTTCAAGTAAAATACTGAGTTTAGCTCCTAAATAAACCTATTTTATAGTGCTATGTGTTTTTCTTTGTAACTTAGTCACCAGAGAGGAGAAACAGGCTTCATCCTAGACCACTGCGGGTGCATTTTACACAATGTGTCCAACATTTAATTAAGTTAATATAAATACCATATGAAAGATGTTAAGCTGTTTACATCATGAAGTGTTTGATCTTTTTTCTTTATTATTTGTGTCAGCTGAATATCCACAACTTGGGGCCTTCTCTCTCTGTCCAACACTAAACAGACTTGTATTAATATATATTTCAAAACTAAAACATGTTTGCTTTCAAGAATAAAATGTATTGTATATTCTTATTTAAACAAAGGTGTGCCTTGCAGGGTTGTTTGTATATAAACGTAATAAACTTTGTTAACTTTTATTGTTTATGTTGAATGTGTTTTATTGCATAAATATCACCTTAGTTTGCGTTACTGAAGATTGAGGCTTGACTGAAAATACAGATCATATTTACACTTAGTTTAGATATTAAATTATATATCATACATATTAAAGAATTGAATTAACACGTTGAATTTCAAATTGTTTTACTGGTACCTTAAAGAAGACATATTATGGCCATTTTTAGCGTTAATAATTTTATTCTTGGTGTCTACAAAAATAGATTTACATGCTTACAGAAAGACATTATAGTTTACATCTTGTACTGTATTTTATTCAACTTCTGTCTGAAAGGCTTTGTTAGACCTCAGGGCTCTTCAAGGCCTCCCTCCCTGACCAATCAGAGCCCAGTGTGTTCTGATTGGTCAGCTTCCCGGAAACTACATGTTGCGCCCATGTCTTGCTCCTTCATGCAGGTGTAAATAAGCGGTTGTAGCTAATGGCGTCGGCTCTGCCTCATTAGTTTGAATCCGATCTTGAACAAGAAGATGATAGATTCGAGCCACCTTCGCAAGCTTGACGCTGTACCGGAGCAGGAAAACAAGCATAGCTGTCAGGCAGTCGGAAGGAGGGAAATGGCTGAAGATGGAGATAAACGCGATTAATGTCACAATAATCTGCAAGGGACTTCACATTACACAATTCATAACTTGGAATACTTTTATGAAAAAACTTTTTTATTTTTATTTTTTTAATCTGTGGACACATACGGACAAAAGGGATATGAATAATCGAGGAATGGACAGAATCGGACTTCATGAACAAGGTAGGGAGTCACCATGCTTTGCCATCTTGGTGGTTTATGATGCTGTTAAATCCGAATTAATTTTTACTTTTGTGCTCATAGTTACTGAAAAATGAACAGAATGGTAAAATTGTGGATAATTTATCCGAGCTAACTAGGTATAACTTGTCAATATTGACAAGGGCATTTAAACCTTTGTGCGTGTCCCTAATCTGCTTTGCACTAACATCAGGTCAGTGGCGACCCGGTTAAACATCACAAATCCACAAATAAAAATGCAGACGTAAAGGTTGTGAGTCCCCCTTTCCGCGACAAAAAGTGGACACGGCACTTTCCTTCGGAAATAGCCACTGCGTATGTACCGCGCTGAACTTTGCACGGTGTTTGAAGCAGTCCTCCTTGAAGTACCAGGCACAGTAAAATGTTGGAAACAGTGGAGGGAACCTGGTAAAAATGAATTCGAGCCTCTGAGTTCTTTGTGGTACAGAGTAGATTTTTACAGGCAATTGAAAACACTGTCTTTCTGAGGGCTATACTGATGTTAATACGTCTAGGAGGTAAGACTGTGACCCCAACAATGGGTGTCATAGGAATGAGAAAAGTGGTTTTTGCCCTGACACCCCTTTGGCATTTACTTTGAGCCTTGCAACTTTGTAGACCATTGACACGTACAAAAATCTATATAACACACTATAGTAAAGGGAAAACATGGAAAAGCATGATAAGTCCTCTTAAATGTTTAAAGCTGTAATAATATGCTTTGTATATTTATATATTATGTAAAAGTATATATGAATTAATTGGTAATAATCTGTATTTGCTGGGTGTAAATAGCCTACTGTTTGCTACCATGTTTGATGAGTGTTGTGTTTTGAGGTTGGATCACTGCCCCAAGTGGCCAAGGAAAATCAATTCATGCTGTTTTTAGGGTCCTTGGTGTGAAACTATGTACTGTAGAGAAACATGGACATATAGTGTTGGTGACTTCGTGCACTGGCTCCTGAAGTATTGTTTTCAAGCTTGATTTGGATTTATGGAGTGACAGCATCTCTTTCATCTGGAGAGAGAAAATCAAAACTGGGTCAAGGGAAGAGGAGGTCTAGGTGGAGATGACAACTGTCAATCAAGCACACTTTCAAATCAAATTTGATCTCTGCTGGAATATTCTCAAAATGGAAACCAAGACATGCATTAGAAGGAGTAGAACTGGCTATTGTGAATCTATCAATCTATCAATCTATCTATCTATCTATCTGTCTGTCTGTCTGTCTGTCTGTCTGTCTGTCTGTCTGTCTGTCTATCTATCTATCTATCTATCTATCTATCTATCTATCTATCTATCTATCTATCTATCTATCTATCTATCTATCTATCTATCTATCTATCTGCTGTAATAGGTCTTAAACCCCAACAGCCTTGTAAAGTCCTTTTTCAGTCAGTCCTAATGCACTTCACATCCAGCTGCAAGTTTTAATGTCATATCTTATGGTCTTTAACGAGCCGTTCCACTGAGCTGCCTCAGACGGCAGATCTAGCCCTCATGCAGTCTTTATTTAACAGTCCCAGTTGGTGGTCTGACAGTTTTATTAAGTCCAGACAGATCTGTAGAATGGGCAGAGCAAAGATGATGATGAGATGCTTAAGTCAGTGGGGTGTGTGATGGAGACAGTTAGGCTTGCTGCTAGCCATTGTAAAAGGAGCAAGCAAACAGTCCCCTCTTATATGCTCTTACAGCTATGAGGCAGTGTTATCAGCGAGACGCAGATGCTGTTTGTTACTGTGCAAAGTGTGAGTCTGTGTGTTTGCATATGCTTTTTGCCGCACACGCGTGTTTGCATGTGTGCGCCTGGACAACAAATAGAAGTGGGAGAGTCGAGTAATAACAAACTGAGAGTTGTATATCAGCCTTTCAAATCAGAATAGAGTGTTCACATTTGATCATATCTTCCTCCCTCAGTCTCCCCTCCCTCCACTTTCAGCTCTCGGTCCTCTTGTTGAGATGTTGCCATGGAAACGGCAGCGAGCTCTCAGATTGGCTGTGTCCATCTCTTCCTCTGAACTATGGTTTTGCTGCTGAAATTGCCAATCAGCCTCTCAGATCCGCTGGAGAGGAGGAGGAGATTGTGTGAATATATTTTGATTAACAAAAATGGAAGGGCACTTAGGAGGGGGAGAAAATATGATGCTAGTAAGGAAAGGGGCCAAGAGAAAATGTTGCACTGGGTAGAATACACTCTGCAATTCCTCTCTTCTGTGTTGAAGGCAGGAAAACAAACATTATGACAGACAAAGAGAAGGAATATTGACTCTAAATAAGATCGGATAGGCACTGTTAGATTTTACCAATCGGGCATTACTGTCTCTGTTTGAATTTCCATAACCAGGAATATTGTGTGAATGACATGAGAGAGTGAAAAGAACAGAGGCTAGAGATCATGTCCAGCCTGTTCAAAAAGGAACATACTGCTCTTTTCACATGTTTCAGCACATATACAAAGAGTATTTCACTTGACAAGCAACATTTTTTTTCAAAGTAGTAGTCTAGAATATTAGGTTTTTCATTTGTTTTTCCCCGTCCACACAGCTATCAGTTTCCAAAAAATTTTTCCATTGTGGAAATATCTTCTTTTTTTTTTTTTTGTCTATTTCTGTTACTTGCAGTGCAGATGTTTCATATCATTTTGCAGTTTCAGCTACGTTATGACACACCCATAAGGCAAATTTGACAAAAATTTGGCTATGTTTAGTGTTGACAAAATTAATTTTTCTACCACTATGAAAAACAGAGCTTATTGTTCTTGGAAGATAGCAAAAACACCAACAAATGACCAACACCAAACAACATGCTTTGGGAGATGGTTGGCATAACAGGGCTTTAAATACGGTGTATAAATGTTCGAAATGCACCAAAACAGTGATATGGTCCAAGAAATTTCTGGAGTTGTGTCCATTAGGTAAACAAAACATAAATAGATAGAATAAATGAATTAATGGTGTTGTGCACTTTGCTGCACTACTAGCAAATAAACCTGATTATTGTTTGAAAGGTCAGTAACCATGCACTCCAGCTCCTGCATGTAGTCAACAAAATGTTTCCACAACTGTGGCTTTACTCTGTTTCTCTCTCTCTGTCTCCCATCCTGTGGACTTTCCCAACTCCAGTCTTATGACAGTTTTTATGTCCTAAATACTTTATTGCCCCACTAAAAACATAAAGTCCTATATGTGGTTCTACACTCGGTATTTAAAAGTTTAGCTGATTATAATCAACATGTTCCGCTTTCTTTTATGATAATTTATACCGTATCAAATTCTTTGTTAAACTAATAAATCACACAATGATGAATAGTTTTATTTTAGTGGAGCACCATTACAGTGTATATGTCATTTTTAAATGACAAAATTAAAATATCTTCTTAAACAACTGCTCAGAAAAACACCCTGGGATGGCGTAGGTCCAGCATGTCCATTAGGCTTCATTTTCACACTTGGTTGCTCCATTAGAGCTTCAAGTGAGCATCACATTTGTAAATTGGCCAACAACTACTGGTAAAGGTGATGATCAAAGCCACTAGCACAACTTACTTGTTGTGTTTAGTGTCTCTATCAATTCCTGTGTAAAGCAGTCAGTATAATCACTATTGCCATTTTCATTATGAAAGCAGGGTATCTTGTCCTCAGCTCTGACTGAATCCCACTGTTTACAGATCAGCAGGCTTTCTTCAAAATGATGTGCATGATCAAGGGATCGGGTACTGTATTGTTGTGAATGCAAATGATCTCATAAAACTGAAATATCTACAATACCTTTCGCTAGACTGCTGTGTGTGCACCTGCGATCAGTGGTGGAAAGTAATTAGGTATATTTACTCAAGTACACATTTGAAATACTTGTATTTTTTAAACATTTCCATCACATTTATCTGGCAGCTATAACTACTTAGCTGTTACAGATTTTACAACACTTGAAAAAAATATATGAATTTTTATTGATTGAACTGACCGACAGCTACTCTGTAAACTGTCCAGCAGTATAAAATGTGATATCATGACACTGACAGGGGATGTCCTGTACAATACATGTTGCTGATAATACTTCGGTAAACCTTAAGTAAAGTTTTGGATGCAGGACTTTGACTTGTAATAGAATATTTTTTTCAAGTGCTGTTTTTATTCTTAAACAATAGTGTTACTTTACATCAACAGT